TAAGAAAAGATGGAAGAGGAGGAGTTAATTTAGCCATAATGAATATACACTAACCTACTGGCCTGATCTGTGTGTGGGGGAGAAAGTATTTTGTCGGAGTGCTGCTGGCAGCCTTCCTTGTAGACTTAATTGACAGTGTGTATTGTTTTTCCCCTTGTTTTCCTGGATGCATGCTTATGTGTGCATGCATATGTCCAACATAGACTCTAATTTTATTCCATATCTCACAAGCATTTATAGCAAAGGGAATAATGATGTGCAATGGTGTAAACAGTCTTTCTGTATATTTTAATAGTCCACAGAGTTATAGTTGTTTCCATTTTATAGTTACTTTTATAAACCAGTTTTATTAAAAAATCAAAATCTAGAATTTTCATACCTTTTTTCTGCATTTTACCACGTAAATAGCACGTCTTCATTTCGTATGTGCTGTATTATAGATATGAAGCTATTTATAAACTGCTCTAAGGAAATACAGTTATCCATACAATATTCTTTAATTTGTTTCAATTTAAATTTTTACATATTAAACATTTCTTGTAAAGATATTATTCTTATAAAACTCTGATTGGATGCTCCAAAATAAACCAATCAGAAAAGATTAGAACCCTTTAAAGTAGAAATTAGACAAGAGAGAAATTATATATAAACGATTGTTATAAATACCTCGCAATATTTACCCTGATGCCTAATGATGGTTCTTGATAAAGGATCTGTAAATAAGTCAGTGCTATCAGCCAATAGTAAAGCTGATTTGGGACTTTTATTTTTGTATGGAAGACTTGTAATATAAGGCAAAACTTGAATTTATTATGTCTTTTTGTGTATAGCAAAGAACAAACAGACATGTACTAGCCCTTATTGACAACCTCAGCCTTTAAGAAATATTATGTGCTCAAAGAAGGTCCAGCAATAAAAGATCCTAGTTAATATGTTTGTTTCCTATTTCTGTTGAAACTGGTTATCTTCCAGCTTTTTAGGGGCAAACTGGAGTTATTTTTACATTTGTGATGGTATTTGTCTTTTACATTGAGTAAAAAAAAGTACAGCAATATATAATGGCTTCTAATATATTCAGTTTCTCAAAGCCTTAGTGTGACCCCAAACCACCTGCTTGGTACAAAGCTTTATGGATTACCCCAAAATTGGTATTACACAAACAATCCACAAATAGCAAAAGATAGGGATGCAGCCTGAGGAAATATGAGAGAAATCAGGGAAATGCTAAAGCATGAGAATTGAGTATTACTGTATAATATAAAATCTCTCTGGAAACAAAATGCAATGTTGTCCTAGCAATAGATAATTTAATCAGGAAACAGAAACACCTTAGAAATGCACAGTATACATTACAGCAACTTTCAGCATACACAGGTCTGATAGGTGCGTGGCCAAGAGGTCTTTATCACAAGCTACCTGGTATTTTAAAAAAGCTTGTCATGCAGGCTATGTCTACACTGCAGGTTTCTTGCACAAGAACTGTTTTGCACAAGAGTTCTTGTGCAAGAGCACGTCCACACTGCCATGTGCTTTTGCGCAAGAGCATCAAAAGAGTGTGGACACTCTCTTGAGCAAGAAAGCTCTGCTGGCCATTTTAGCCATAGGGGTTTCTTGCGCAAGAAACCCCTGTTGCCTGTCCACACTGCCTTCTTGCGCAAGAGCTCTTACACAAGAGGGCTTATTCCTCGTGGGGAGAGGAATAACTCTTGTGCAAGAAGCCCTCTCTTCTGATGCTTTACTGTAAATATACTTGTGCAAAAACACGCGTGCAGTGTAGACGCTCCATTAGTTTTTGCGCAAAAACTGTTCTTGCGCAAAAAGCATGCAGTGTAGACCTAGCCAAACAGTATCCTTCTTTCCCTGTGCAGGCACATGTAGCTACTTACTCGACTAGCAAATTAATCACAATTTAACATCCCTATATAGGGCCCCATGAAATGAGTGGATTTTCTGATTTCATTTTTCCATTAAAAAAAATAATTTCACCATTATGTTTTTTAATCAAAATTGTTTGATACATTGACAAGTAGCTTTACTATACATCAGTGTTTCTCAAAGTGGTCTGCAAATCCACTCTGAGAAACCTGCTAACTGGCAGCTCTGGTTTGTTTATATTTTGGCTCCGCATCCCCATGAAATGAGTGGATTTTCTGATTTCATTTTTCCATTAAAAAAAATAATTTCACCATTATGTTTTTTAATCAAAATTGTTTGATACATTGACAAGTAGCTTTACTATACATCAGTGTTTCTCAAAGTGGTCTGCAAATCCACTCTGAGAAACCTGCTAACTGGCAGCTCTGGTTTGTTTATATTTTGGCTCCGCATCCGGATCCTCGTAGTTCCCACTGGCTCCTGTTCATTGTTTGCAGTCAAGGGGAGCCACAGGAAGCGGCATGGGCTGGGCCGCTGCTTCCCGTGGCTCCCCTTGGCTGCAAACAGTGCACTGGAGCCAATGGGAGCCATGAGGCTCTGTGGCTGTGGAGCCATTAAATAAACAAACCACAGTGGTCATTTAGCAGCTTCTTCAGAGTGGATCTGTGGACCACTTTGAGAAACACTGCTATACATGCATAAAATGTTCAGAATTGGATTACAATGTGAAAAAGTGATTTTATAAAAAAAAAGTGACAATTTAAGCAAAGTTTACTGCCTCTACAAAGTACATGATTAATTTTAAATCACTTTTTAAAGTCGCATTTGTTAATATGACCAAACTGACATTGCTGAACTGTAAAACAAGGCCACAGAAATAAAAGCCTCTTACAATGTCAATTTTAACTTAATTCATATTTGATTAAAAAAGCACTAAACATAAAATAATTCTTACTTGCAGCATTCTTTGTCTTTTTAAACTCAGTACTTTCATATTTCCTATATTCTGAAGGATTGCTTAAATTAATTTCAAATTTGATTAAATAATTCAAACTACCAAATCAACAGTTTTTGTCATTATTTTTGCCATCTCTGGCAGACATCTCCATTATGGTAATTTATGCATTTTCCTCAGAAAGGAATTCCCTAATGTCTGTAAGTAGATTTTTATATTTACTAACACACCTCTCTGTGTCTACAGAGCTGACAGAGATGATGATGTTAAATAGGGCAATCTCAGGCACTCTTCCCTTCAGAACACATATATATTCTCAGTGTGTATATGAGGAGTGAGACACTGATATTACATAGAGGAGCATGAAAAGGTTCTTTTAAAGGCACCTGTGCTTTCTTGGGCACTGAATACTTTCACTGACATAGCTTCTCCCGTACTATGATGCCAATGTCCCAGAAGAGTACCTCAGCTGCATTACAATGCCTGGCATGAAATTGACACAGCAAGGAACTGAGTTCTCAGAAGCTGCTCTTAAATCTCAGATGCTGCCTTCTCTCTCCTAACCCCTACACTTTTTCATGGTCCCTCACTCCCTGCGCCCACTGATCTCTTTCTGCCAGCACCTGCTACTGTGATCCTAATGCTGGGCAGATCCTGGATTCTATGACATCATTCATGTTCTCATTAATATGAATTTCATAGGGCCCTATACTTAGTGCTAGACAACTTGCCAGAGGTGTGACCCTCACCTCCTGAGATTTGTTGAATCTTTTTCTCAAAGAATCCACAACATAGCATGTAGCAAACTTACTGTGCTGGAGTTTCTGATCTCTTCACACATTTCTCATCATTCCATTCCTTTCCCCCCTGGAGCGAAAGAAGAGCATATCTTAAAGCAGGTTTCCTGTAATGTTGTTTGTCTCACCGTCATCTTATGTTATTGTAATGCAGGGCAGCAAAAACATTAATTTCCAATACCTTGGGCCCATGGTAAGATACAAGACAACAGTCAAACTATGGTTCTAGTGATTGTCCACATGTGTTCCACTCCTGGTGTGTCTGTGCGCACACCCCACTCTGTGAGATTGGAATAATTCTGAATGTCAGTTGGACCCTCCATAGCAGAGTGAAAAAAGAGTAGGGCAGCTTCAGCTGCTCTATCCATTCCTACTTGCCACCCATAACTGCAAGATGGAACACTAGCAGTGTCTGCATATCCACATTCGGTGCAACTTTATTCTTCTAGTTCAGGGGTGGCCAACCCGTTCCAGACGAAGAGCCAAAATAGCAGTGGAGAATTGGAGACAGCGTGAAGAGCCAGGGAAAAGTTGTTGAGGAAAAAAAACCCCGCCGTGCTGAGGGAAAATAGGTGCTGGTACAATCATCACAGGGTACGGCTCCCCTCCCCCCCCCTTTTTTTTTGCTCAATAACTTTGCCCCGGCTCTTCATGCTGTCTCCACTGCTATTTTGGCTCGCAAAAATAACAACGGGAAGGGGTGTGAGGTGCAAGTTCTGGGAGGGAATTTGGGATGGGATGGGGTTTATGAGGGGCTCGGGGCAGGGAGGCTGGTAGTATGATGGGCTCAGGACACAGGTTTGCGGTGTGTGGATGGTGGAGGAGTGTTGTGGCAGAAGACTGGGGATGTGGGGGTACAGGAGTGTGGGGATGTGAGAGGCTCAGGACAGGGGGTTCCAGTGTATGACAGGCTCAGGTTTGTGGTCTGGGGGGGTGTGCAGGACTTTTATGATGCTGCGGCCAGATGGGGGCTTCTTGGCCAGGTTTCATTTTTAAATAAAATATATCAAACACAAAATATTTCAGCATTGTCTTTATTTATGAGAGGGGCAGGGAACCTATTTTGAGTCTGGTCACTGATCCACAGAAAAGTCAGTCAGGGCCATACAAGTGAGATGCAAAAAACTAACTACTCCAACCCCCCCCAAGCCTCACTAATGTGGCCCCAACTGTGCTGGTGGGGGCAGGGGACAGAGTGCTGGGGCAGGGTACTTGTGGGGGTGTCTGGCCAGGAGGAGGGGACAGAGACAGCTGGGGCCAGTACCTAGGGATCCCAGGCCTCAGGAAGCTCACTGGCTGCTCTTCTCCTCCT